TCACCTCAGCCTTGATATGCATCAAACTCCTTTTTTCTCTCCTACACCGCTTGATAAGAGGCTGACAGCCACGTTAACACTAGTCATTTGCTACTGAGGCTAAATACTCCCTACAGACACGCATTAGGCCACCAGACATAATTTTTCTTATTGCCCAAGAGAGCACTTAAGCTTATTTCTTTAACAGTGAAATGCTAATATACTGTTTAAATACAAAGCTGATTACCAAAAGGCTCTCCTTTACTTACTATTCAGAATGTTAACTTGGTAACTTGTTTTGCAGTAGGACTTCAGCTCACATTTAGCGAGGCCCTTAGTCCACATTTTGTCAAAATGTATATAAATCCCTGAGAAACACAATTTTTGCTATCATATTAAAATTTGCTCATAAAATCCAATGATTGCAAGCAAAGCAAAAAAATAGAATTTCAAGTACTACACAAACGGAAGGGCAAGTTTGGACTGCTACCTGACAAGCCACCTCTAGCAAGAGCTGCTGCACACAGGGCAGCAGCGGGCGTCACTCACGAGGTTGGGGTATGCTCGTGGGCCCGTGGCAGAGCTGGATCCCTGCAGCAGCCTCCAAGACATCCCGCAGCACTGAACCGCAGGGCTTTTCTGCTGGAGAATCCATTTAGCCCTGCACACTTGTCACAAGGAGGTTCAAATGCATCAGTACTGCATAAAAAGGCAGTTAAAAACAGGGTCCCTTACTCTTCCTTAGAAGGAGATAAACAGCACTACAATCAGAAAACTGGATTTATACATGTGTTATTTTCATAAAACAGATGCTCACCAACCTTTCACTTATTTTCCTACCTATTCAACCAAAGACAGTCCCCTATTATAGAGACCAAACACTGATTTTGCACTTCAGGTTCATAGTAAGAAAAGGGAAAACCAGCACGGCCCTTTTGCACGTGGAAGGTCAGTGGGCGCGAGGCGCGCGCGAGCTCACACACCTCACCGGGAACAGCTGACGCACCCGCGTGCTTTCCGCCTGGATACAGCACTCCGGGACTGGTATCTACCAGCTCTTCCTACGTTACTTAGCGCTTGATGTCAGGAAACTGGACTGAGTGGCAAAGCAACAATTAACAAGAAACTCTTAATATTAACTTGAGAAGTACTGGCAACCACTAAGATGGACCTACTCTTAATTTTAACCATTTAAAATATATATATATATATATATTACACCCTCTCTGCCAGGGACGGAATGATCCAGTTGACATGTTAAACTATTAGCATGATTCTTGAATAGTGAACTTTGAAGTCTCTTGACACTGATTTTTAATAATGTTTATGACTGAGATACAACCATACTGCAGCTAAAGCTAACATTAGTTTATTGCTTAAATCTTTGGCTTGCTTTCTCCTCGCAAAGGTTCCAGCGAGCAGCCCACTTCCACTCCATGGCCCCGAGCATGGCACAGCCATACAAGGCTGGCTACCTTGCCACTTATCAAGGGAAAGAATTAATCTGCTTGCTTAAAAGAGAGCCAGTGAGTGTTTTTAGTAAAGGCCAATTATAAAAAGATTCACTTTTCACCTCATGCACAACTAGCCATTTAGGTCCTCATCATGACTGTTTCCTGGAACTAAAGTATGCAGCTCAGACACAAACATATCACGAAGAGGGAAAGCACCAAGGAACAATCTGCTTTTTTAATCTTGGTTTTCTTTGTAATTTTTTAATCCTTTCTTTCATATTTCAATTTTAAGTTTACTCACATTTTAACACAGCAGACAAGCCATACCTTTCATATGGTTACAAAGTAATTTTTAATAATCTCACATAGTATTTGAATGTAATGATCAGTATGAAAAAAAATGCTATGCCACATAATAATCATTGTTATTGGCTTAAGCTACCTAAAATACTCCAATGACTGAGGCTAGGAAACTGCTCCTATTTCTCAACCTGTAGAGGTTTTACGAGGCAGATTGCTTGCTTAAGAAATACGTGTTTATATTTATTGTTTATTGCATCTTGAGAAATAATTAACCTACAAGAGTCGAAGCAGTTTCATAAAATTTTAACTATTTAGTTTGTCTATTACAACCTCATTTACATTTTCTTTCTGAAAGAATTGTCAGGAATTACTACACTACTATAAACCAATACATACCCTAATTTATTGACATTAATACTACTGGTTAACTTCCTTAAACTTAATTTGTTCAAGGATAAATCCTAAAAGATATCTACACTATAACTAAAGCTGGGCAATTTGTTATTGGCAGTCAATAACAACCTGGTGGGGGCTAAATACGAGCGGAAATCCCTGCAGTTCAAATCACACTCAAGCACGGCTCTGAATACAGACCGCATGTGCATCGGAGTCTGTAAGTGCACTGGGTGCATGCAGTGGACACTGGGGATGCAGGCAGGATAACCGCGCTTTGCAGAGCACGGCCTCCTTTCCAGAGGTTTCGAGGGAAGCTTTAACGTGTGCTTAGGGAGCCCTGCTAATCCTCCTAGCCCTAGTAGTGCAGGTGCCTTGACTACCTGGGGACACGTTCAGTTCCTGGAGCCACAACAGGCGCGCATGCGGCAGAAGGTCTCGCTGCCATTTGATGTGTGTGTCTTACCTGGGGCCAGCTGCGAGGCACCTCCCCTGCTCAGCTTTTCTATTACCTACCCCACTTGGTGCCAATTTCGTCCCGCTTTCCCACCACCTCTTGCTTTGCTGTTCTTCTTTAAAACATAGGATGGGAATTTGTCAAAGTCAATGAGCACTTTATTACAGTGAGAGTGCTCAGTAATGAACAATTCAGCAATTTAATGAGATTCTGTAGATCTGTCTCCAGCCTGTCCATCAAGTTTCACTTCTATAAAGCACCCTGACACTAATCCTCTGGCATACCCAATCTTCACCCTGGGCTGAATATTAGATTCTTCCATGGTATATTGCATTACCACTATAACCTTAGCAAAAATGATGAACTTAACTACACTTGAGGCAATATAGCTGGTCTGATTTGATTTTCTTCTATTGGATTGACTATGAAGGAATTACTTATTTACTAAGATAAAGCAAAAACAGTTTCTTATTGCCTTCTGAATGCCTACATTGGTAAATATTTGTGTGTGTCTTTTAATTCATTTTGGGGACCTGTAATATTTATAAATATATATTTATTCATGGGTCTACAGAATGAGTTAAAATGACACACATATTGCCTGCAGCAGCAAAGCAGTTTAGGAAATTCTTCGTAACTGCATGAGTAACCTTTACAGAGGCAATTACGATAACACTTAAATGGACAGTGCAGAGTCTGTTGTCACTCAAAAAGCAGCACGTTGCCTCTAAGTATCGCTCCCCACGACGACTCCGCAGCAGCAACATAAGCTTTGTCAGTCTGGCTTTATAAAGTGTTCGGTGACGGGAGTGCAGACAGTTACGAAAATGATTTACGAGTTACTCCTGCAAGACAGGGGAATGCCCAAAGACCTAAGAACTTCCATCTCCTAAATGCTATTTTGGCAAGTTGCATAGGGCACGCTATCTGTCATCCTCTTGTCCTCTAATGAGCTGACATTAAACAATTCTTGCATGGCCTTCTGCAGTACCTATTCCATAGCAAAAGTATTTCCAAGCACAGATCTACAAGACTTCATTGCACACTCAGAGAAATGATCATAAAAACCAAACTGGCCAGTCAGCTATGCCCCATATAAAATCTTGTACATCAAAACGTGCTTTGCTGATCAAGGGAATGTAAGTAGGACTCCAGAGTATCCGGCTTTAAAGGAAGAGCCAAGAAGCACCGCAGGTAGCGGCCTCCAGGTTCTGCTGCATACACGCTCCCCAGAGAGCAGCAGAGGAAGAGGGCAACTCTTCAATATTACCATCTGCAGAAAATAGCATCTTCAGAAAGACTCCAGAATCTTAGCCTCAAAGTTTTGGAAACAAATATGTCAGTTATCAGAGCGAAGGAGTAAATTACATCTACATGCTGCCATTATAGCTGGAAGAGCTTAAACTGGAATATTTGGTTCCTACCTGTTACTGTACACAAAGTACTTACAGATAGTATTTTATACTTTGAGAAAATGATAGAAGACAGATGTAATGATTTGCTTAAGATAATCCAAAATGCAAGAAGATAAACAACAGGGTTTGAATATAAATTAATCTTCTGAATCTTGGGCTTCCCTGTTGGGCCAAGATGCCCACTCTTCTAGTAGAAAGATTTCTTTCACATCAATTAAGTTCTACCTTAAAAAACCCTGAACCACTTTGCTTTTACAAAACATGACAGAAAAAAAAAAAAAAAAAAAAAAAAAGCAATTCAGGTTATCAGGATTCACTTCCACTATATCATGATCTCCAATTTTTACCAGAGTGCCAGATGTCTGGTGGCAGTGTTTCCAAGGCTGGATTTTGCTTGTTTTTCTATGCCCGTCTTTGCAGGCTACATACATTTTTAGCACTGGGCTATTTTTTCTATAACAAATCTCACAAAACAATACTTTACGCTTGCTAATATTCTCTGTCTGTCAGCGCGTGGTCCCTTCTGAGATCCAGCTTTCTGCAGTAGGAGTGACCATCACCGCCAGCTTCCTGCCTCATCCCCCAGCAGAGAGAGCAGCCTGCGAGGACTCCGCGAGTCCCAGAGCAGCCGCAGTGGCCCTGCCCCAGGGCAGAAACTGCCTGGAGGCACCGCAACCAGCTCTGCCTCGAGGGACGAGACGGGCAGAGCTCGCGCGAGGGGACCTGTCACGCACTGGTGGCGCTGGCCTCGCTCACCAGCAAAGCCGGATCTGAGAGAAAATACCTCATTACACCTGCAGCATGCAAATTAAGCGATAAGCAGAGTCCGCTGCAAATGAACTAATAATGTTAACATAATACAACATTTTAATCAAAGTTTTTGCTCAAGTCCTTAGTCTCTCAAGATTGCTCCAGGCTACCAAAAAAAAAAAAAAAAGTACTGTTATGTTATGGTTTACAGAGGAACACATGTTTTTCTTGTTTCACTGATTTCCTTACCTGCCAGATTTGTTCTTCACTGAGTGAAGTGAGTCTATCGCTTTTAAAAACTTCCCGAAGGAGACAGTATGGGAGGGCCAGGACTTCTTCAGGATGACTCTTCAACAGCTCGGACAGATGTTTTACTAAGAAGTCAACCACTGCATTCTCCAACAACGTGAGGTTGAAGAGGTCCGCCAGCTTATACAGGTCCAAATAATTGAAACTATTTAGTTCCTAGATGAGTGAAGCAAACAAAATACGTCTCAGAAAAGAAAAATGGAGGAAAAAAAAAAAACTCAGAGATCTCAGATAATAAAAAAGGCTGCTCTTTTGGAAGCTGGGGAGAAAGAAGGCAGTATAACTTCAGATTAATTAACATAGTTTCATTCAAAATGTATGTGCAACTGCTACCCCTGTATATACAAATATACATGAGAGGACTCATTTGTGCCGCAACTGCTGATGTTATATATGTATGCAGCATCTATAAGAAATACGAAGTAATACATAAAATAATAAACTAGCATGACTTACAGTGCACAACAAAAGCTCTCAGGCCGTAAAAAGTAGATGAAAAATATATATTTGTTAATTACAGTGGTTTGTTCCAAACAAATGTTCATTATTTACTATTTTGATTGAGCTAGAGAAGCTGTGTGGCATAATTCTCAGCTCCATTGAAACAAAACGCTTCCTTATGACACGATCAACTACATTTTCTATATAAATTTATTTTCAATGAACGACAACAACAAAATCACTTTTTTCCTACCCGGCAGCAACCTGTAGATGACACTGGCCTCAGTCCTTTTTTTGCTACCAGCAGAAAAATCTAGAGACCAAAGCAACACTAACTGAGCACAGGAAGTACTTTCTCACGCAGCTAACAGGTATCCCGTATTAAGGAACCAGTAATTTCAGTTTGGCCTTCTTTGTAAACTAGGGCCGCTCCTGTTCTGGATGGGGCCCTCAGGGCAGAGGCACGAACGCGAGCGCAGCACAGGAGAGCGCGAGCGCGCTCGGGCAGTAAGCGCGTGTGTTTGGGCCTGCTCTCGCCATGGGCTCTCCCTGCTTCCCGCCCTCCCCACGCGTGGTTTCCATCGTGCCCATCGCCGCCGCGCACCCGCGCTGAGGCCGACAGGCCGCGGTGTCAGCTTCACTTTGCCGCCTGCTTAACGCGGAGCCGAGCGGCAAGGAGAAAGCGACTCCACCAAGTCAATTTGCGCCGTGCCGCGCGGCTGGGGGCAGCTGCGCGCTGAGTGACGCTGACAGGAAATCTTGTGGTGTCACAGGAGCCGCGTGGCAGCCAGAGCAAGCGGCCGTGGGCAGGGGAGGAGAGGCAGCTGGGGATGTTACACAAAGCGCAGCCCCAGCGGGGAAGGGCGGCTGTCCTGGCGCCTCTGGAGCTCTTTATGCAGGTGCAGTGCACAGCGCAGGGTACAGGGGACGATTTTTTTTTTCTTCCACCTGCTTGGAGTAGTCAGTACTGAAGGAAATTGAACTGAAATAATCTTCCTCTCTAACTGCTCACTTTTGGTGGCAGGGTTATATGTAATAAATAAATAAATAAATTGTATTTATTATCTACCTAAGCTCCTGCATAGGAGTCGCATTTTTTTTTCTTGGAAGAAAAGATAAAAGTTGACTAACTTGCTGGAATAAGCACTATAGGCCACAAGCCCAAGAGCCACACAAATCCCCAGCGGTTCTACTGTGTCACCACCTCTTCACAGTGAGTAGGGGAGGTGAGGATAAACCCTCGCCAACAGCAGAGAGAACGAAAAACAAAAAACAACAACAAAAAAAGGAAGAATGAATTTTAAATGAGAAGTGTTTGGTGTGTGCTTGTTTTTAGAAGTAGCACGTGCAGATCACAGATGGCACCTCAAAACACCGCCCTGCCAAGCAGCTGAGGCACAATGTAAAGCAGCGTAATTCAAAGAAAAACCACAGCATTTATCAGGTAACAACCACATTTTACTGTCACTGGTTTGGAAGAGCAGCTTTAAAAAAAGAATCATCAGCTAACGGAATGAATTTGAAACATGCAGGGAAAAAAAAGAAATAAAATAATGCATATTTATTGAACTTGGGTTTTTTTGCAACCAACAGCTATAGTTGGGAATAACAACAAAAATAAAACCAATAATCAAGATCTGTGATGAAGATCTGTGATCTCGCTGAGATACAAGCCTGATCCAACTCCACTGCGTGTCAGTGGAGGGGGCCAGAGGGACGCTGGTGGTCTGCAGAAGAGGGCAGTAATGGCTGCTCATTAGCCTGACGGAGCCACACATATCGTCACGCATAAATGCTATTTTTCCCTGACAAAACAAACAATCAAACAAAAACCTTTAAATCTTCAGTGAAATCTAAAAGACACTGCAGAGGATTCATTTTTATTTGGGTATTTTTGATCATCTCCCAAACTCCCCTATTCCTTCAAATCGACATCAGTTGAAGTTCTTGCTGAAAATTGTTACATAGTTGAAAAGGCTGAAGATACTCACAGACAAATAAAACTATCAGTTGTTTATTTACAGTATAATTTAGTCATATTTGTGTGTTCATTTACTCATTTCAGGTGTTTATTATATGCATCTATTTATGATGGGGGTTATCTATCTATTTGATTGCTAGGCTGCAGCAGATGCTTGAGATTTCCTGCCACACCAAGCGCTAGTGACTTGTCACAACTAGTGGCTTCCTGCTTGATGCTACTGCCAATGCATCTCTTGCAAACTGGTCTTGGGCTGCGATCACAAACTCACTTGTCTTTCTCTAAGGTTGACCAATAGGTCTGTATTTATTATTATCAAGTCATCCTGTACTTATTATTATCAACTCATCCTATTTTCTAGATTTTTTTCAACTAAATTCTTAAATTCAAACTTTCTGCTCAATACATAAAAGTGAAATTGTTACTCTTTCAATTCAGCTGCGGGCAGGGGTAGGAGTTCTGCCTGCCTCTGCTTTCCATGAGTTTTAGTAGATAGCGTTCATAAGTAGTAATAAAAATTTAGAAGTTGGGTGCAACTTTCTTCTGGAATTGTATCATAGAAATTTTCCATTTAAAAATGGAATACAAAACAGGTATTGATTTCCATATTTCCATATTTTCCAAGTGTTTATATTTGAATAATTTATAAATTATTGTAACTTGTAAAGTTGTTTTGTTATACACTTTTAAATAGGCCACTTATCTTTTTTGAGTGGAATGACAAGATATAACCACAGGCAGAACTCTCGAGAACTAAAGAGAATTAAAGACTGGTAGTGATCCTATCTTTTCTTCTAGGATGCCTTTTACACTATTGAAACACTTTTTGACAAGAAAAATATGTATAAGATTATATATAAGACAAATCTTACAGTTAACAGTTGAAATGATTCTAAAATTGCATCACAAACTCAAAGAAGTTTTAACAAATTAACCAAATGATTTATCAGTGCGTACTTCACAAATGAAGAGGTATCTGATCCTGTGCATTCGCTGTACTAGACATTTCCCACAAGCTGACATTTAAAATCCTCATAAAAGAAAAACAGTTTTCCAAACCTGAAAACAAGACAATATTAAATGTTTAAAATAAATGATGTGACACTGTCTGTATTTTAATGCAGATATGCCGTATCATAACTCTATACTAAAACTGCCAAACAGGAAGGCTTTTTTATAAACACTCTATTTAAATTACTTTCAAATTCCTCCTTGTTCATTTGTATTTTCAAGAATAATTGCATTGCACAAGCCACAAAAAAGGATAGAAACGTAGATAAATTAGAGTTAATCTTAACCAAGAACACAGCAGACTACAAGGCACCTCTATTCCTGTGCTCTGTGTTAGAAATAGCAGAAAAAGTGCAAGGAGAACTAAGGGGAAAGAATGCATTTCTTTATGACCTTATTTGAAAGATAAACTCCTTGGGGAAATACAATTTATTCAGATTATCAAGACCCTGCTGTGCAAATCTACAGTCTGGGAGCACACTACAGAGATCAAAAAATATTTACTTTATTCTGTGGGGTATAAAAGCTTTTAATGAATGCATAATTAAGACAGAAAAAGTATATACAGCTTTGGAAATTCCACTGCCGAGCCAAGCCATTAACACCCAAAGCCCCATCCCCGGCTGCGGCTCCACCTGCTTCCCGCGCAGCTGCCAGCACTGGGATCCATGCGGGATCCGGTGCAACAGGGTCCCGAGCCTCAACCCTCCGGGTGTCCGCGAGGCTAAATACAAGGCCCCAGGTGAACCCACCGGGCAGAATCCTGGCACACATCGCAGCAGAGAGGTCCGTAACAGCTCAGGAGCGTCACCGCAGCACAAAAGCCTGGTTATATGACAATAAAAGGGATCAACTGCATTTTAAGAGAAAATAAATCCATTTCAGTCAGTGCTAACTCTTTCTTCCTATGCCAGCAAAGGCGCCCGCAGTGGAACACCCCACTCGTTTCCCCAACGCTCATTTCCTCCAGAAGCACCGAACTGCCTGTAGAGGGAACCAGCCAAGAGATGCCCTTAGTTCAGATTTAGCATGTACACAGATACTTCACAAACTGTGTTTTAGGTCTCCTCTGAAAGCTTCCTGCCCCCGAGGCCCAAACCGTGCAGCTGGGCCATGCCAGGCAGTTTTGCTGAAGCAGAGGCACAGCGGGGCCAAAACACCCTGATCTGCACAACAGCGTTTACATCATCACACCATCGCTGCGGAGCGCAGACGCGTTTATAGGCACAGTTAAGAACAACTTTGTAACTGACTCATTTTCTAAAATTATTTTTTTAGTTATCATTCAATATGGCTAATCTGTCAGCTCCTTTGCTGACTTTCCCCCATCCATTAGTTGTTGCTAATGTTATCAAATCCAGAAGGAGCAAATTTTGTGCTTCAGAGCCCCAGCAAAGCTCCCAGAAGAAGAGCCAGGAAGATCTCTACCATCGGCATGAGGAACCACAAAAAGCAGGGCTGCACAATGCCGTTTCTTTACATCTTTTTGTAGAGTCTAATGACAATTTAAGAGACGAGAACACAGGACTGCAAGCCGATTCCTCTGCAATACTGGATGAGCTCAGTCTTGGTCATAAATTTAGCAAGATCTGTCATAAACTACTTCAAGGTATCGCTCCCAACTGCTACCACCAGCAGGCTCAGCTGATTTGGAGGCTCCTTCTTCTAATTTCGAGCTTAATTTACTCAGACAGTTTATACACATTTGTTCCTGTGCCAACATTATCTTTTAGCTTTAACAACTCTCTCTCCCTAGTGTTTATTCCCTTGATATATTTACAGAAAGCAATCATATTCCTCCTCAGCCCTCATTTTGCTAGACTAAACAAGCAAAGCTCTTTTAATCTCCTCTCATAAAACAGGCCTGCTGATCATCCTAGCTGCCCTTTTCTGCACCTATGCCAATTTGACTTCATTTTTGCTTCTGCTTGGGCAAACTCTTAAAAATACTTCGCATGATGTTTCAGCACTACCTCGTTTATTGGCCTTGATATTTCCTTAGCTTTAAGAAATTATCTTGCACGAAATATCCCATGCTCAAACTGCCTTCTCTTGATGGTATCACATTAGTTGTTCAAAGTCTCCCTATGATTCAAGACATGAAAATTCTCTGTAAACTTGCTCCTCATATGAGACACAGTAACAGCCCTTCTGTCTGTCAGGCAGGACAGGAATAATATGACACGTTACAAATGGGAATTGAGTATGATCAGCTGAAACACAGCAGATTCTACTGAGGATGCTCAGAAATGATTTTCCAATTCTTTTTTCATTTCTTTCTATATTTGAGTAATGGATCTGGCAGCTGTCCTGGTACACATGATTGTTTACTGGCGCAAAAACTAATTTCAATAACTTTCTTAAGATTTGTTTCAAAAGTCAGCAAGGAAAACCCCTTAATGTTCTGAAGAAATGAATAATTTTTAAATCAATACCAAAGCATGAAAACCATCATGCATAGTGGAAATACTTGCCAAAAGTACACCTAACACACAGTAGGTTAAAATATCATTTTCATTAACTGCAGTCTCCATCACCATGAAAAAAATCTGCATTATATTAGGTCTGTTTGCACAGTTAAATTCCTGACACTTCTCTCTCTAATGCCTTTTTTTCTCAATCACTTGCTACTTTGCCAAAATTTAATACTTCAAAGTTGAAGCTTTTCAGTCTCAAAACAATCTCTTCAATTCTGCAGAAAACACCTCAGGAAGTATATTAGATATTATTAAGAATAAGACAGAGTAAAAAACGAATAAATACACATACAAGCATATACATACACACACATATTTTGCTTATCCACACTCAAATTTATTGCAAAAGGAAAGAACTGGTGGGAGCTGCTGTCACTGCAGCTTCCACAGCTGACCGCAGTTACAAGCCCCTGGAAAAGCAGGATATTTTGCATATGCTCAGGAAAGACTGGCTTGCTCTTGCCCTTGCCCTCAACAAGGCCCGTGGGCATCGCTGGCCCCACGGGCCAGAGCCCCTGCGCAATCCCCAGCGCAGGGAGCCTTCTCCCCTCGCGCTGCTGCGGGGCTCGGGAATGCAGAGCCGGGCACCGTCACGTGGAAGTGCAGAAACATCAGCAAAACCCAACGCGGAGGAAAGCGCGGAGAGCACCCGCAGCCAGGGAGCCGAGGGATGGCCAGTGAAAGGGAGGGAATCCAGCAGGAGGGTGGCGGTTTTATTGGAATTACAATCCAGAAAGAAATGGTCGCATGAAAGATCCTCAAAGTGTTTTGAATAAACATAAGCAAATAATAAGGGAGATGGAGAACAGCAGGGGAGTTACTAACTAAAAGAGGAAGTCAATGTTATGATTATAGCATTATCCATCTATATACTAATGTTGATAGTCTAGGTACAAACAACATTTGCAGACGTTCATATACAACAAACAACTTTGTTTCAGAACCTTTTTATGACATTTTATTTCTGGAAAACCAAAATAACTGCAATAATATGTTAAGAAATGCAATGTGAGACTGCTTTACTCTTTAAAAAGTCTGTCTCTGCAAAGCAACAGAACTTTCTTGGGTCTTTTTAAGGCAGTACATGGATACTCCTTAGACACAAAGACCAAATCCAGCGTAGGATAACTCGATACTGAAAACCATTTTGACGGACAAAGCTGAGTCAGTCAGGACAAATTTAACACAAGGTATTACAGGAAACTGAACATTACAATACCCTATAAAACACTCAAAATGAGCACTAAAAAAGACCACATACAAACTCAAGATAGGCCTCTGGCTGGTCAGTTAAACAGAGATGTGGAAGTACGAACAGAACAGTACCAACCTGGGTATGTAATTTTGGAAAAAAGAGAAGCAAGCAAAATGAATTTTTGACAACAAGGGGCCAGAGCCTATTTATAAAAGCCAATAATGAAGTTGCAGATAGTGACACAGGAAAAGCAGAAAAATTCCAGTTACTTCTGTACTACCTTTAGCATGAAAGGCTAGCCTCCCATATCGGCTGCTGCTGTTTGAACAACAAATTTTCTACTTGTAACAAAGTGAGATATGAACAGAAATTACATACCTTAGTATCACCACCATGGACGGCCTGCAATAATGAATTTTAAGGGAACCCACTAAGAATTAGTGTTAACACTGATCAAGCTTTGGGAAAAAATGGAGAAACTTTCTCGAACTTCTGTCCATGCCAGTGACCTACAGATTGGTTAGATAACTTGCAATGCATGCAATGAATCTGGGAGTTTATTTACAAATGCAGGTGAATAAGAGTGAGATCTATCAGGTAGACATTGGAAAATGACATCTCCTACCTCTGCAGAAAAACTTGGTTCATTTTATTAACTGCATCGATAGAACAAAGCAGTTCTCAAAAAATACCCAGTTACAATCTTTATTTTTTCATATATGAAACATATGTAAGATATGTTTCTCTTAGATGGATCAGAGATTTGTTCAGTGACAGATCTCCTAATGAAGTTATTAACAGGAAGTTATCAAGCAGTGTGACTCGTTACAATGAAGTCCTCAGGGGATTCACTCTTGGTCCAGCATTGGTACCAGTATTATCAAACTAGACATGACAAGTTCTGCTAGCAGAGCTTGCACAAGACTCTGCAGTAGGGTGACAAATTATGAGAATGACAAATAAGAGAATATTGTCTGGCTTTCCCAGCAAAACAATCACATCCTAATGAAATACATCTGAGAACCAGTAACAGAGCTGAAGCAGAAAATGTAATAGGCCCTGCTTGGAACAGGCCTTATGGGCTACCAGGGGCACATAAATAACCATATGAGTTCTCAGAATACTCCTGTGGCAAAAACAGGCTCATGACATAAAATACACACCAAGTACTCCCCAATTAAAGTAAGGAACCTTCTTGCTGTCTCATATAGTATTTTTAAAACTGCTCAAATATTGGTCAACTAAGAAAGATGTCATTTCTCCATATAATTATATATGTCAAAACTGTTGCAGAGAATCAGAACTGGGAAGAGAAGTTACCATTACTCCAGCAACTTCTAAAAGTTATGGCCTCAAAGATCAAATTTTTCAAAGACAGTTTCTGATTTGTGGATGTAGGATCAAAATTTCACTGGCCTAGAAATATGGGACTTTTTGCATTACCTTCTTGTGCTTATAAACATCTTGCATCTCTGCATTAAGAAAATTACTACAATAAAATAAGGGTTTTGCGCTGATTGTTTGTACAGCTGAAGAAGGAATTCGTTCCTTTGATACATAAATTGATCTATAAGAGAGTAAGGTCCCATATTCCTCTGAACAGTGGGAGACTTGTTACAGGAAGATGTGAGAATACTCATCTCTTACAAAGAATCTGATCATCAGCATCTGAATGATAAAAAGGCATCATTAAAGGATTTGCCAAATATGCATTATTTGTGAAACTGTTACTTGCTTGGTGCCTCCATCCTCCTGCAGTATCTTAACACCTCAAAAATCAAATAGATTTTGTGCTCACAACTCTAAGCAAAAGCAAATCTGCATTTTACAGAGAAAAAGTGGGGCAGCAGAAAAATTTAAAAATTGGCTGTGATGGAGAAGTTTGAAAATTTAGATATGAAAACAGAAGCTCAATTGCCTGGAACCCATTCCAGTGCTCCAGCCACTATATAATTCTTTTCATCCAACAGTAACACGGTTTTAAATTATTTATGTAGTTTAGTATATCAGCAAAATGTCTGTAACATGTTTTGTTAAAGCAATATGTCTCAGTGATATAAAACATCTCTGTAACAGTCCGTCCTCAAATTTATGCAGTGAAAAGAACATACCTCTTTTTCACATGACTAGGAGCTCTGCTGATTAGTAGGTTTACTACATAATAATCAGAACTGATTTATCTGGAGGTAAACACGATGAAGAGAGATAGGAATCCACATATGGGTGGCAAAGAAGGAAAAAATGAAAAAAAAAAAAATGGAAGTATCACTGGCTGAAATAAAAAAAAGATGGTATGCTTTAATGGAATCTTTTTTTATTATTATTTCATTTTACTTGAAGCATGAGTGACCTTGGATTTACATATCAGTCTCATGGTCAAAAATCATTGTAAATCCGACTTTCCAAAACAGGAAATCTAGGAAGTGCAAAGCCCAATGTAAAAAATGTGGACACTGACTGACTGTCTAGTTTGACAGATTCTACATCTGCCTCTCATTATCACAAAACGAGTTACAAGTCCTACCAAAATTAACCCATCTGAATGTTTACACTGCTGAAGGTGTTAAGCATAGTAGGATCTTCCAAAGATGTAGTTTATTTTGCTACTTTAGTTTCCAGGTGCTCTTAAGAATAAGAAAATACCACCATGAGCCCCCACCCATCCTCTGTCCACCTCAAACAAATTATGGTCTCAATTCCTTGCTTTACCCCAAGACATCTTCTCCTCATAAGTAAAGAGAAGAAAAATATTTATCAAAGTGTTAGGCATGCAAGACAAATGCAGATTTTTAAGATTTCAACCACTACAATAAACTGCTGTTACCATTTTACTTTGTATCTTATGATAGGCTACATATATCTGATATTATTGCTTTTTGTGCAGTATTCACCACACTAATAATTTTAGCTACTTATTTGATTACTTTTCCAGAAGCTCCATCTGTCTGTTCAACTTCTGGAGCAGGGATGCATGATGCTACCCAAGTCCAGACCCCGACTACAGCTTTCCATGCTACACAATCCAGACTCACAGCAGTATCTAGGGGTCAAATACTTTCAAGTATTTAGTTACAGGATATAATTAATACCAGTCTCTGAGGTCCTTGCACTGTATGCATGCACTAGCTGCAGACTTCTGTTCTCCATGAAAATGGTAGAAGTGTCAATATATCTTAAGGCAGACAAAACTAAAACCCAAATACATTGACTCTGAGTGATACGACATTGGACCTCTCTCCTCAGCTTTCTCCCTGTCCAGAATTACCATTTCAGGTAATCGGAATTCCAATTTTGAGGCATTTTAGAAGCTGGACCTATCTGAAGTTACCACCATACCTTACACCCATGTGCTTTGATACTGTAAAAAATTCAAGGTTTTTTACGGAATTACATAATTTTACATTTTTTTGTACAAAATACATTTTACATAATTAAAACAGATGTGTTTTCAGTTAATAATGAAAAAAATCTGAAATGGAATTTAGAAAAAGAAAATAAAAAGAAAATAAAAAATAAAACAGATATGAGAAACAAACACCAAAAGTCAAAGCGTTTTGGAAGGAAGCCCAGCTAATATGTTATTACCAGTTTCCCTATTCCAGAGGATATTACAGCACTCTAGTTACATACATACAAAATCCTGTAGAAGCCATTCCACAGGATGTCAGCTCAATTCCCTCAGAACAGCAAATTTAAGTCCTGAATTTAAGTCACTGAAGATGACCCAGTACAGCAAGACACATTCTGTGACATAAATCCCAAGTTCTGCAAGGCTCTAGCGACACAGATGGGAAATTTAGCACCAACTTCCTTCAAATTAATAGAGATGTTTACCATAATTTACTTAAGAAAATAGGTGAGTAAATTTAAATATTTTTCAGGTTGGAATAACATACTTGGCAGGACATTACTTACATATTACTTACATATTTCAGAGCTCTCATTAGCTATTGGCTGCAGACTCAGTAAGACATCATGCATACAGTTACATTCACTCTGGGTTTAAATCCTCTTCATTACCCTACTAGACAGAAATGCCTTTTTTTTTTCCTCTCTCTCTCTCCTCCCCCTTTAAGTAGAACTGAGTCTGATCACTCCTGTTTTCCTGGCGGGTTCTACCCCTCTGCAGTTGTGCAAAGCAAAACACTACGAATGAGGGGATGTGCTACTGCACTGCCTCATTGACCACTGTGAACAACTACTGGAAAACACAAAGTGCCTTGCAGAGGACTCTCTGCTTTGTGCCTCCTACAAGCTGAAATGTTTAGTGAGGAATGCTTCACTATTAAGTATTTAAATATTTTAAATTTTAAAACTAGATGTTAATTTGGGGTTCTTCCAGCTCTGAAACTCCTTATGCATATTTTAGGCTTAGGATCTCGCCATTTTCTTTATGTTTCTTTTTTTCTACTGGCAGTCGAGTTGAGTGTGCTGTGAACAGCTCAAATAAACGGATCCAATGGTACCGATTAAACCATCAGAGGAACATGACATATAACGAGAAAAAAAACCCAACTACACAGACTTGCATCAAGTTCAAATTTCCTGCCTTTAACTAGAGATGGACCACAGAAAACTCAAAAATCCAAATATTGGAAAACAGTAGATTGTATTAACTTGGATCTTTATAATTTCAGTCCACCTCTCCCACTAAGCAAATAGATGAAAGTTTTGAGGACATACAGGCCTCTATTAAACTGACTATAGAATAAAAATAAAATCCTAACAGCTATTTTAATCTCTGTTAAAAAATATGCTGAGATATTAAGTATTTTCCTGAATGTAATGCTTTAAGTGGCCTCTCAAAATTTATCAAATAATAATTTCCTCATTTTCTCAAAAAGTTTCAGCTTAACATTCCAAACTTCCAATTGATCCCTATGCAAATGATAACAGAGTATTTAAAATATAAAGAATACAGCATGTAAAAGATACTTATTTCATAACTAGGAAAGAAAAAAGAAATAAAAGAAAATCTGTTCTATTTCAGCAAAGCCAATATAGAGAAAAAAAAAAAAAAAAGGCCGGGCAATTACCTATCTGCCACGGTGGCACTTCTGAGATAAAATCAGACTCTAACTCACTTCAGGCCCAGCATTCCCATCCAGATTCATAGGTCACAAATGATTTATAGTCACCATTTTGTACTTCCCATTCTGCCTTTTCCTCTACTGGTAAAGACTTCATAAGCGAAGCAGTTTTGTGCTTCGGAATACCTTGGCTAAAATGACTGAGCACGATTCAAATTGATTTAGATCGGAGCAAACTTAGATAAACCGTCCCCGTGCTCCTCCGCAGGAGGTGGATGGAGGCAGCTCCGTGTACCCGGTGCCTGTATTCCTGTTCCTCCGTACTGCAGCAGCAAGGCTCCTCTTTCAGGTCACGTCTTCCACATAAAAGTGCTAAACTAATGCTGCTTAATGACAAATTAATGTCCATGAATAAAAAATACACCTCTAATAGCATAGAGTAATTTGCCATTACAATATCATCATTGGACATGCCCCTGGTTTAATACGATGTATTTAATTCATAACTTAATGAGTGATATATAAAAAGAGAGAGATGAACCCTGCAATTACATTTATGTGAGTCTGTCACCTTATTTGTAAAACCTTAGAGTCATTTACATTCAAATTAGAACAAATGAGTGATTTCACAAAGTGCAGTGATAAATGACCATTGCTGCACAAGGCAGACCTGTATTTCCTGTGAAAACATTACCAGTTTCCTATTATTTGTTAAAAATTACAATGCATATTGCCCAGTGTTGTGCGAATAATGACTTTTTTACTGATTAGGTCAGGAGACTAATACGGAGTAAAAATAAATAATTTTTCTTTTCCTTTTTTCTGATTTCAGCGGGAACGCAGCCGCTCGGCTGCTGTGGACTCACACTGCCACCTGCCGCCCACGGCCGCGCGGGGAAGGGAAGGGAAGGGAAGGGAAGGTCCCTGCGTGCCGCTCTCTCCCAGCGCGCCCGTCTCACCTTTCCCTTGTCATGGCTCGCAGGGAAACGCGTTTTCCTCCCGGCCTGATAACTCCGCAGTGCCACCGGCTGATAAACCAAATTACCAGCAACGCCTGTTTTTTTGTGCGTGCCTCTGAACCGCCCTCCTTGGTAAGGCGAATTAGTAGCTCGAGAAAGCTACTGAAGAAGCTACTAAAGAGAAAGGGAGGAGGGGAGATGTAAAACATTAGTATTGATCAGGCAGCAATAAAGCGGGGGCAGATTTTGTCCACTAAGCATTCTGTGACTCATCGGGCACCGTTTCCAGCCTTATAAAAATACTTGGGAAGGATCCCAGGAATCTTCTGGGGCTGAGAGACAGAAAGC